ACCCTTTTATGTAATGATGTTTACTTTGAATTTATATTAGTTCACACAAACACTCCATCCATGCTTTTGTTCCGGCCCTCCGGTCCAGTTTAAGAACCCATTGTGGTCCTCGAGTCAAAAAGTTTGCCCACCCCTGGTCTATACTCAATCACTGAGCCACGCTGGCCGGGCTGCACCATTAATTCTTAACTTTATTTGACACAGAAACCTTTCTTATGCATTCTGCTAACAAACACACTTTAGGAATCACTGCAGAACAGGGCAGGAATGTGAAGTAGGACTCCTGACCCCACAGGACGGGGAAGGCAGCCCAGGCTCCCCAGATTAGTTCTGAGGATTGGGGCAAGGGCCTCCTTCTGCACTTCCCCTATTGACCTTCCATCTGCTGCAGGTTCCCCACAGCACTCTTTTCCCAAGACTGAGTCCTGGGGCCCAGAGGGAAGTTGGATCCTAATCCCTAGGGCTACCTTTCACTTTGCTTTTGTTTTTAACATATTTTTATTGATTTCAGAGAGGAAGGGAGAGGGAGAGAGAGATAGAAACATCAATGATGAGAGAGAATCATTGATTGGCTGCCTCCTGCACATCCCACACTGGAGCTCAAGCCCGAAACTCAGGCATGTGCCCTTGACCAGAATCAAACCTTCAGTCTGCAGGCTGATGCTCCATCCACCGGGCCAAACCAGCGAGGGCAACTTTGGGTTTATTTAATTGGCTGTGACCTCGAACATTTTCTTGTAGTTTTGTGTTCCGGCATTTTTCTCTTCAGTGACCTGACTCAGTGTCTTTTGACCATTTACCTATTGGGATTTTACAGTTAAAAAAAAAATCATTTATATGAGGTCTTTAGGTCATAAAAAAATGGCTTTTAAAATATGTAATGTAGCCCAGGCCGGGTAGTGCAGTTGGTTAGAGCATCGTCCTGATACACCAAGGTTGCGAGTTCCGTCCCCGGTCAGGCCACATACAAGAATCAACCAATGAGCCTAAGCGGGCTTGGCTCAGTGGATAGAGCATTAGCCTGCAGACTGAAGGGTCCCAGGTTCGATTCCCGGTCAGGGCACATGCCTGGGTTGTGGGCTCAATCCCCAGTGTGGGGCGTGCAGGAGGCAGCCGATCCATGATTCTCTCTCATCATTGATGTTTCTATCTCTCTCTCTCTTCCCTTCCTCCCTGAAATCAATAAAGAAATATACTTTAAAAAAGAAAAAGAATCAATCAATGAGTGGAACAACAAATCGATGTTTCTCTCTCAGATGAATTAAAAAAAAAAAAAAAAGCAAAAAGCTGATTAGGAGAGTTTCTGTCCAGAGAACATTTGAGCAGAAACCCAAGGAGGTAGTCTGAATTTTCTACTTCTGATTTTTCTCAAATAGAGGAAACTTCTAGGTGTTTTGTTTTTTTTAACCCCAGAAAACGATTTCACTCGTTTTCAAATTTGTCAGCAATTTCACATAATATCCTTTTCTATTTTTAGCTTATTTCTCTTGTGATGGCCACCATTTACTTCGCCTTAAGTTGGGTTCATTTCTGTTTTATTTCTTTCTTGATTGCGTGTGTCCATTGTATGACTTACTCTCTGCTTTAACTAAAGGAACCAGTTCAAGGAACTTTGACTGTTTTTCTAGTTTCTAATTTATTCTTTTCTGTGTTTTTTTTTTTCTGATTCCTTCCTTCCTCATCTTTATTTTGGGGTGCTGTTCTAATATTTCTAAATGATTTTATGAATATTTTAACTTTTTATGGGTTGAATCATAACACCATTATAAAAGCTACAAAACTTTTTGGGTAAAGGTTTGCATGTGTCCTGTGGGTTTTCATAAGTGCAATTCTTTGTGTTATTTTCTTTTTAAAAAATATTTATATTTTTACTGATTTCTGAGAGGAAGGGAGAGGGAGAGAGAAATAACAATGATGAGAGAAGCATTGATCAGCTGCCTCCTGCACGCCCCCTATTGGGGATCGAGGCCACAACCTGGGCCTGTGCCCTTGACGGGAATTGAACCAGGGACCCTTCAGTCTGCAGGCCAAGGCTCCAGCCACTGAGCCAAACCGGCTAGGGCTGTATTATTTTCTTAATTCACACCTGATTCTTGATTTCCTCCTTTACCCAAAAGCTATTTTGGAGAATTTTAAAAATTATTTTTATTTATTGATTTTAGAGAGAGAGGAAGGGGGGAAAGAGAGAAACATCAATTTGTTGTTCCACTTATTTATGCATTCATTGTTTCTTTTTTGTTTGTTTGTTTTTAATCCCCTGAGGATAATATTTTTCCATTGATTTTTAGAGAACGTGGAAGGGAGAGGGAAAGACAGGGAGAAACATTGATGTGAGAGAAACACATCGATTGATTGCCTCCTGCACGAGGCCTGATCAGGGCCGGGGCCAGGGAGGAGCCTGCAACCAAGGTACGTGCCCTTGACTGGAATTGAACCTGGGACCCTTTGGTCCACGGGCCAACGCTCTATCCATTGAGCCACACTGGCTAGGGCTGCATCCGTTGTTTTGATTCTTGGATGTGCCCTGACCAGGCCGCACCTGCAACCTTGGTGTATTAGGAAGATGTTCTAACCAACTGAGCCACCCGGCCATGGCCCGTTTTGGGAGAATGTTTATTTCACTTCTCAATCTCTAATATGAATTTCTAATTTTAGCATATCGTGAACAAAGAATGCGGCCCCTATGACATCTGCATTTCCAGTGTACTGGGGCTTTCTGTAGGGCGGAAAATATGACCCGCTTTTGAAAATGATTTTGCGGATCCTGGAAAGTAGGCTGAGTAACTCACAGCCCAAGCCACAGTCACTATGTCCCCAGGAGCTGGGGGACAGGACAAAAAGTGAACAGGAAGGAAGCCTCAAAGAGGAAGTGATTTTGAGAGAGGGACAAAGAACTGGCTTCTGTCAGCACCCACTGTAGGCTGGGCAGCACCCTAGGCACTCGGCCTGTGTTATCTCACTTGGAGGTCAAAACGGCTTCTTCACAGAAGGAAACCGAGGTTCCAAGAGGTTAGGGAAGTTCCTACACTCTGTCCCCTGCTCAAGCCCTGGCCCCCTTGGCTTTGCTGAGCGGGTTCCCACTTTTCTTTCAAGACCCATTTAAAAATATACATATTTTTTTTTATTGATTTCAGGGAGGAAGGGAGAGGGAGAGAGAGAAACATCAATGATGAGAGAGAATCATGGATCGGCTGCCTCCTGCACACCCCACACTGGGGATCGAGCCCGCAACCCGGGCATGTGCCCTGACTGGGAATCCAACCGTGACCTCCTGGTTCATAAGTCGATGCTCAACCACTGAGCCACGCCAGCCGGGCTCAAGACCCATTTTATTTTTATTTTTATTATTTTGATTTTTGTTAATCCTCACCCAAGGATACTTTTTCCATTGACTTTTAGGGAGAGTGGAAGAGAGAGAGAGGGAAAGACAGAGAGAAATACCGATGGGATTGCCTCCTGCAGGCGCCCAGACTAGGGCCTGGGCCGGGGAGGAGTACATGCCCTTGATCGGAATCGAAGCCGGGACCCTTCAGTCCACAGGTGATGCTCTATTCACTGGGCCAAACCAGCCAAGGCCTACATGCATTATCTCATTTGATCTCCTCAACAACACAGGCGGCCCTGAGCCCATGCTCTAGACCAGCGGTTCGCAACCTGTGGGTCTCGACCCCTTTGGGGGTCGAACGACCCTTTCACAAGGGTCACCTAAGACCATCGGAAAACACATATATAATTACATATTGTTTTTGTGATCAATCACTATGCTTTAATGATGTTCAATCTGTAACAATGAAAATACATCCTGCATATCAGATATTTCCATGACGATTCATAACAGTAGCAAAATGACAGTTATGAAGTAGCAACGAAAATAATGTTATGGTTGGGGGTCACCACCACATGAGGAACTGTATTAAAGGGTCGCGGCATTAGGAAGGTTGAGAACCACTGCTCTAGACCAACAGGCATGTCAAACTCCCAGCCGGCCCGCCAACTGCGAGTTTGACATGCTTGCTCTAGGTTGTGAATTGCTCAGAGACTGAGTGTGGCCAAGGTCACTCAGCTGGCGAGTCGACACAGACAAGAGCTCCTTAGACTCCAGTCATTGCCACATTCAAACTGGAACCCGGGTCCCTCCTGTGGTTAAAGCAGATGCACACAGACGCACACCTACCTCACTCCTCTGGCCTTGCTCACCATCATGGCTGCGAAATGGTGTCCTTTCCCCCCAGACAGCGCGCTTAATTAATGCCTTAAAGGAAATTCATGAGAGTGATCCCTAAGGTGACAGGCTGATTCATTCATCTGTTCTTACGAACAATACACATTTACTGAGCCCCTCCCCGCCCCTCCCCCCCACCCCCCATAGTAGGCTGGCCCTGGACATAGCAACCCAGGTGCAGGCTAGGAGACCTTCAGGGCGGCCCCGCCCACAGTCCACCCACAGCACCCAGGCCTGCCTCCTCCTCCCCTCCCCTCCCCGTTCTCACCCCACAACCCTTTATCTCCCTTCACAAAAAGCCCCATTCTCTTTTTGCACAATACACTTTCACAATAGAGAGTCTATTCACCCCAGAGCCGAAATCGTCAGCAACCAGAACACTGGTTCCTCTTTCCTCCTAGGTCTTCAAGCATCTCCAGGGCAGGAGAAGTAACTGCTTTCTGCCACATGACTTCCGGTTTGCTGGGCTGTTTGGGACTGTAAGCGCCCTGAAGGCCTGACTTGGATCTTTTTTTTTTTTTTTCAGCGTGATAGTTTCTTTTTTGCTTTTTATTGATTTCAGACGGGAAGGAAGAGGGACAGAGAAATAGAAACATCAGTGATGAGAAAGAATCATTGATTGGCTGCTTCCTGCATGCCCCACACTGGGAATCGATACTGCAACCCAGGCATGTGCCCTTGACCGGAATCGAACCGGGGACCCTTGAGTCCCCAAGCCGACGCTCTATCCACTGAGCCAAACTGGCTAGGGCTAGTAGGTAATTTTTAAGCAATAACATATAGTTAGAGAACAGGACCTAGGCCTCTCATTCCCTCCACAGTACAAAAGATCCAGGTCAGCCTTAGCTGGTTTGGCTCAGTGGATAGAGCGTCGGCCTGCGGATTGAAGGGTCCCAGGTTTGATTCCAGTCAAGGGCACGTGGCCGGGTTGAGGGATCGATCACCAGTGTGGGGCGTGCAGGAGGCAACCGACCAATGATTCTCTCTCATCACTGATGTTTCTATCTCTCTCTCTCTCCCTTCTTCTCTAAAAACAATAAAAGCATATTTTAAAGAAAAGAAAAATGTAGGAATCATCCAGGATTTAGGGGGAAACCCAAAGAAAAGCAAAAATCTGTGTGTGGTCGGCATCCCACATTTGCAAGTTATTTTTCCAGGAGTAATGACAGGGTGCATCAAATCGTCTACCTCTAATGACCCCGCCTGTGACCAAGGGTGTATATTTGCATTGCTTTATTCCCAGTAACTTAATCAGCCTTATTTGCATACATATAAGACTAAAAATATGCCACAAGAAACCTAGGCCATCGACCATAAACAGGAAACAGCCAGCTTCCCCAGTTCAAAACCAATAAATACGTAAGAGTGACAGTGATGACCCCGATTGCTGTGGGAGAGCTCATTGGTATAAAGCCTGGAATACAGCCCTGACCGGTGTGGCTCAGTGGATAGAGCGTCGACCTGCGGACTGAAGGGTCCCAGGTTCGATTCCGGTGAAGGGCATGTACCTTAGTTGCGGGCACATTCTCAGTAGGAGGTGTACAGGAGGCAGCTGATCAATGTTTCTAACTTTCTATTCCTCTCTGTAAAAAAATCAATAAAATATGTTTATATAAAAAAAGAAAAGCCTGGAATACAATTTCATATTAGCGATCAAGAAAAGCTTAAGAGGCCTGGCCAGCGTGGCTCAGTGGTTGAGCATCGACCTATGAACCAGGAGGTCAAGGTTTGATTCCCAGTCAGGGCACATGCCCAGGTGGCGGGCTTGATGTAGCCGGTCGATGATTCTCTCTCATCATTGATGTTTCTATCTCTCTCTCGCTCTCCATTCCTCTCTGAAATCAATAAAAACAAAACAAAAGAAAGCTATGTCTTTGCTTATTTTATAAAAGAAAAAGCTTAAAAGTTTATACCCTTTAGTTCTGCAACTTCAGTTCTAGAAACCTATTTGAAAGAATCAGTAACATGGACAAAGATGTGTGTGAAGGATGTTTACCAAAGGCTCACCAGTGCCTCTATGTTGGCAAAAAATTACAAATAAAAAGAAGGAAAAGGAAGGAAGGAAGAAAAAAAACCTAAGTATTCACAATGAGGAAATGGTTAAGGAAGTAGTGGTGTGCGTGTTTGATGTAATACTGTATAGCTATTAAAAAACATGTTTTTGAAGAATATTTAATGAATTGGGAAATGTTTGTCATACACTGAGATACAAAATTGCATATGCATCAGAATTATATTTTTTAGTTCTCTTTTAATCCTCACCCGAGGATATGTTTTTATTTATTTTTTTAAAAATGTTCTTATTGATTTGTTTAGAGAGAGGGGAAGGGAGAAGGAGAGAGATAAACATCAATTGGTTGCCTCCTGCAAGCATTCCGACCGGGGGTTGAACCCACAACCTGGGTATGTGCCCTGACCAGATGCATGCTCAACCCACTGAGCAACACGGGCCAGGGCAGAATATATTTTTATTGATTGATTGATTGATTGATTGGGAGAGAGAGAGATTGTTTGGCTGCCTCCCGCAACCCCCTATGGCAGTGGTCGGCAAACTGCGGCTCGAGAGCCACATGCGGCTCTTTGGCCCCTTGAGTGTGGCTCTTCCACAAAATATCGACTTCTGCGCATGGGCCACGAAGTTTCAAGCGCACTGTACGTGCGCGCCCGCAAGTGGTATTTTGTGGAAGAGCCACACTCAAGGGGCCAAAGAGCC